CCGATCTGCGAGTAGCATATACATTATCCTCCCGACTTCAGCCTGAAGTTGCTTAACCAAGTCTCGCTCGTGCTCGCACACCCCTCCAAACGAGCAGTTTCTCTTACAAATCGGTGCGGAGGAATGACACGTTCGCGATGAGGTGCTCAGGCCTTCTCCAATTCTCCATCCGCTTGGTGGCTTTGGCTACGGCCGCCACTGCGTCTGCTTCAATCAACGACGATGACAGCATTCGCAGACAGGCAGGTGGCAGCAACTGCAATGCTGTGGCCTTGGCCAAGGTGCTGCCAACTGCGGCCAAGGTCGAAAGGATCGAATATGTAAGCGCCGGGAGCAGTTTTGGAGAGCCATTGACCAACCTTGAGTTCCCAATTCCGCCGACAAACCTACCGGAACTATGCGCAGCCATCATCGCGGTCGCCTCGTCGCCCGTCTCCTCGTATAGGTTCGGCCTCTTCCTGCCTGCTGAGTGGAACGGCAGGTTTCTCGCCGTCGGCAATGGAGGGTTTGGAGGCGGAATCAACTGGCCCGATATGAGTGCGGGCGTCCGACAAGATTTCGCCGTCGTTTCGACAGACACTGGCCACAACTCAACGGCAACTGACGTACTTTGGGCCCTCAACCAGCCGGAGATGAAGACCGACTGGGGATGGCGGGCGCTGCACGGCTCCGTGGTGCTTGCAAAGACGCTCGTGACGACCTACTATGCGAAGCCCATCAGCTACTCGTACTACAGCGGTTGCTCGACCGGCGGACGGATGGGGCTGAAAGAGGTGCAGATTTCACCCACCAGCTTCGACGGTGTTTTGGTTGGCGCTCCGGCCTGGTATACAAACCATCTGAACACGTGGATCTGCAAGATTGCTTCTTACAACTGGCCCGCCGACGACCCGAAGCATATCGACTGGCAGACGCTACCCCTCATTAGTGCTGAAATCATGCGGCAGTGCGACTCGGTCGACGGAGTTACCGACGGCATCATCAGCTCGCCGGAAAAGTGCAATGTCGACTATGATGCTCTACGGTGCAACAAAAGCAGCAATGCTCCGTCCAACTTTTCATCATCCGCCAGCTGTCTAAACGACGCGCAGGTCGGCACGCTCCAGAACGTATACAACGGCTATGTCATCGACGCGACGGGCGAAAACGTCAATCCCGGATACCTGCCCGGTTCCGAGGACCAGCTGTACACGGTGATGAACTACTCGGACGCCAGCCCGTACGGCCTGGGCTACCTCCGCTACTTTCTGCTGAACGACCCGACGTTCGAGGCCTCGCAGTTCAACGACACGCTCCTGCAGCTGGCCGAGTACTACGATCCGGGCAACGCGACGGCCGACGACTACGACCTGACACCCTTCCGCGACCGCGGCGGCAAGATGCTGCTGTACCACGGGGCGGCCGACGGCCTGGTGCCGACGACGGCCGGCAGCATGTACTACGACCTGGCGATACAAAAAACGAGCGGCGGCAACGTGACGGCCGCGCGCGACTTCTTCCGCCGCCTCGAGGTCCCCGGCATGCAGCACTGCTACCTGAGCGCCGTGGGCGCCCCCTGGGCCTTCGGCGGCGCCTTCCAGGCCTCCTTCCTCGGCAACGACACGTACAGCGTGCCCGGGTTCGCTGACGCCAAGCACGACGTCCTGCTCGCGCTCGTCAACTGGGTCGAGCACGGCGTCCCGGTCGACCAGGTCGTGGCGACCGCGTGGAACAACCTGACGGATCCGTCGTCGGGCGTGCTGCGCCAGCGGCCCGTCTGTGCGTACCCGGAGACGGCCAAGTGGGACGGGAGTGGAAATATCGACGAGGCGGCGAGCTGGAGCTGCAGGTGCGTAGCCCTTTTTCTTTTCCTTTCTGTGTTATATCCGGGCTGAGCCCATGCCAACTGATCATCGCGCAGTAACGAGCCTAGCCAAGTAGCGAATAGCGCGGGGGCAATGTCGTACATGAACCCGTTCTCGGTCATTGCGGACGTGTTTAGGATTTTCCCTATATGACCTAACGGCATTCAGTTGGTTCTGGTCCCATTGTACATACACCAAACCGAACCAAGTATTCTCCTCTTATAGGTCTAGCAAGATATAAATACTATTCGCGTATCCCCGATCCAGCATCTTTGATATTTACCTACGTTCCATCGTAAACCGGTGGCCGTCAACTGAAGGTGATTGATGTGAATGAAATAGAATTGACTACCTAGTGATTCACACATCGACCCAAGAGGTAAGTACAATACTGGATACTCTTCATTACATTACTGTTGAAGGCATTGGAAAGGGCTATATAGGTGCATCTATCATGAAAATATAAGTTATACCGCGAATCAAAGCCCAGTGTTACCTCCGGTAATATATACTCTTTAAAGGCCCATCGCCAACAAGGGTATAAATCCCGCCTTGCGAATTATTAAGCATAAAAGTCTAGCTACTGCCTTATGGCGAAGAACCAATTAGTCGCAGTATTCGAAGCTCCCAAAGACCCCTTCATCCAGCAGGTGTCGGTGCCATTGTAGTTACCCCAGCCGGCGCCGGCGCAGCTCGAGTTTCCTGCGCAGGCGTTGATGCAGTCTTCCACTGTGCTCGTCTCCTCGTTTCCGATGTCCGTGGTCCCGCCGCCCGCGTTGCCGTTGTAGTCCACGTCGCAGAGGACTAGGAACGGTTCGTTGCCGGTCGCTTCGTAAGTCGTCCCGTTGGCCTGGGGACATGCGATTGGCGTCGGCGCGGCCGTTGCTGAAGATGTAGAGGAAGAGGATGTGGTTGTAGGGGTTGAGCTGCGGTAGCGTTAGTAGATTCTTCCACAGAATGAAGACGAAGAACTACCTACCCAGATGTGGCGCCAGAATTCGAATTAGAGATATCGTGGGACAATCCAAGGCCAAGACCAAGACCGAGTGCAAGGCCCATGATGAGCATGGAGATGAGCGGACCGAATATCCACCAGAATTTCTTTCTCTTCAACCCTAAGATGGTTGGGCCGCTAGGTGGGAGGCTGGTTGGAGACTGATCTGTAACGTATGTGCCCTCTTGAGAAGGTCTGGGGTACAGGCCTTGAGAATCAACTACGAAATAACCGTTGTTCTGGGGAACTACACCCTGGTGAAGCGGCGACTGCTGCTCGTACCCGTGATAGTTTGCGCCATCGTGCGTCTTTTCCACGACATCGTGAACATGTAGCCCTGATTCTGGTGCTACTTCCAAACCAGGTTGTTCGTGAAATTCTGGTGCTACTTCTAAGCCAGGTTGAAATTTGTTGGACGACATGGTGAATTCTAATAGAGGCGCGGATGGGCGACTTTGGCCTTACCGCGATCACTGTATCGGAGGCATCTAAGACGAGAGAAATGAAAAGAGATGAATGACAAATAGAGGCTACGAAAGATACTATGAAAGATTCATTTCTGCTAGGTTTACAACATGTAAGTGCCTATAATGGAGTAGGTAGAGACGATCCTGGCAAAGGACCCCGGCAGTCTTGCCCACAAATTAGAATATTGGAATAAGGCTGCCCGACCCGCCAGATCCCCGATTAAACTTGCCATCGTGGGAACCGGTTCCCCTGCAGGGGCATTGTTCAGGGCCATTGGTCCACTCGTAAACGCCCTACGAATCCTTCCAGCGACCCCTGCACGCAGAGAGATCCTTCAAGCAGTTCAAACTCTGTAAACCTCTCTCACGTCCGGTCGGCAGATTTCGAGATGGCTTTTCTCCTTTCGTGTATGTCGTACCCCAGTGAAATGCAGCTTACTGATGGTCAAATTCATGAATGAAAGTTGAGAGAATTCTCACAAATTTCTCCTCTAAGAAAGGAATAAAAGTGGATCACCAGATAGCGCTAATAAGAATTGAACCTAAACCACCATATTACCTATCTCTCTGAACCCCAGGATTTCGAAATCTAAGAAGCTGAGCCACCCCAAAGTTATCATGGTCGTGGCTCCGCTCAGGCTGTAACCAAATTAGCGATTACCGCTACCGATACCACGTTGCTAAAGTACCTAAGCTGCAAGATCCCTGCTGCCACAAGCCGCGACTGCGCGACTATTGACTTCTAGCCCATGTAGATCTTCTGACGAGCTCGCATGCTGTGTAACGCGACAAGATAACGCACTACGACAGTGCCGAAAGTCAAGCTTTTCCAAAGTCCTACGGGGTAAATTACCTACCTGAAATGCCTGAATGCAAGGATATCGTACTCGATTACCACTCCAGATGAGAACTGTGCTGAAAATAAGCTGACATACGTAAAGCGATCATGAATATCCCTTCCTGTTTGAGATCGCTCATACAGTACATAGTAGATAATTCGAGCCACATATAGACGTTCTAGCTTGAACTGGCAGGTGATATCCCCTAGACGCGAGCCACTGCAAGTTGGATGCCGCTAGCCATCGCCTTAAAATCTTACATCAGCTTAGGAAGTCTTACCAAGAAAAATATATTTTTGTTTGGTATTTGGATACTATCTTATTTATAGATGGGCCTATATACTTATAGCAGGCATGCAATTACTGGATGGAATAGCTATGAGGAATAGTCCAGGGGATTTGGCTTGCCATCGTTTCGATGTTATCGACATGTTTCAAAATTCAATAAGTTATCTTCATGCCGTAAGATATTTGTTATATGGCCCCTACTCAGCCGCCAGCTTGGCTTACCTGGGGTATAGACTGCTAATGTCAAACTATTGACTGAACTCCCACAGTTGACGATTTATGTTGTTGGGCTGAATAGGACATAGTAAGGAGATAGGGCTGACCTGGTTCATGCCTGCTCTTTGAAAAGTGCGGTCACGATTTGCATCAGGCTTCTCCATTTACATTTTATGATGTTGGGCCATGCTCGCTATTTTGCCTGCATGAACATACTCCTGAATGGGATTCGGCACTGAAGCGATTGCACCGGAGATAAGGCGGAGATCTCTAACCTAGTACTCTACATCAGGTAAACAGAATTCAATGTCTAATGTAAAAAACAAACACCCAGAGTAGAAAATTGAAGGATTGCATCAGCCGCGAATCGAACGCGGATCTCATCGATGGCAATGATGAATTTTACCAGTAAACTACTGATGTCTCTCTGTAGCTCTTTATAGGCTGGGTGTCCGTAGACAATCGTTTTGTATATCATATAGGTACCGTTAGAGACATCAAGTTGAACAGTTTGCCACATAGTGAACTTATTATTTCACCTTCCATCGTTTCTTCTAATAAACTGGCATGCCGATTACGACATGGTCCCGTCCCTGTGATCTACGTAAATATCAAGTGCTACATAATGCAGGTAGCATACAGCTTCCAAGTTCCAGTCCGTAGCTTCCCAGTACTTTAATTCAAACGCGAAATCTCCGCAGAGGCTAGGACCGAGATGTGCTCGTGATGAAGCTCTAATTCTTGTGATTGATCCGTAGGTACTTATGCAAATGATGCCTAGTACCTAGCACGTTAGCTAGTACGTCGGCATGATACCTTACTTAGACCGTGGACATTTCTGTCAATAATTGACAGGAAACACCCATATGGTTGCAACCTGAGCTCTCAAAGGTTATGGGATCGCAGAATTGATAGAATTGATGTCTTTCCATTTTCAGGGGTAAGCTAGTGGGGAAATAGGGGTAGGTAATCCCCGAACTGCGAGTACCTACGGAATACTATGTGATCCACTCTTTAAACTTACCGCTAGGGTATCTGAATGCGACCGTGCCGGAGCAAATTTACTATGTACATCATCACCAGTTCCTACCTCCTACTTCCTGCGAGCTGCGTAATTCATGGCTCAAGATGTCTTCGAACGATGAACCGAAAGACGAACCGAAAAATGATGGTCCATGGGATAAAGAGACGAAGCGCAAGTTCCAGAAGTAACGTTCCCTCCGGCGCTGTAGGAAGCTTTGGTCTCAATCGCTAATTACCTACCGGTCGCGAAACAGCAAATCCACGAGCGAATTCTTCGATCCCTGCCAAGAAGCTGCCGCGCGGAGCATCCGGTGTCTGAATCGAAACGGAGGAGATAGGCAGATGTGTACGGATTACTTCGAGTGAGTCGTTTACGAGGGCTGGAGATGTGCTGGGGCCGTACGGCAGGATGGGATCGGATATACAACGACGGTTCGTCTTTTGCTAACCGGTCAATTCGTATAGGGCGTATCGCGCATGCAAAAAGGATTGGGTAAGGATAAATTCCCGTGGCCTGTCTCCATATCTCGCTGTGTCTCCGTCACTAATAAGCTGGAAGATCAATAAACGAAAACGGGAAGGAGGCAGCATCTTCTTCAGCTCGAACTCGAGCTCGAGCTCGTAAACGTATACCTGACGACGAATCAAAATACACATCTCTCGCGATAGCTGGTCTCGGACGGTGACGCATCGGAAACTGGCGTTGATGTCATATAGAACCCTAAAAGCTCGGTGAACAAGAAGTCGGTATTGGTAGAAATTCAACGATTTTTTTTTTTGGTCAAGTCTAGCTGAAGGGCCTGGGCGGAGTTCCCTTCCCCATTGCTATGACGAGTTATCTATAAGCAGCGCAAACTTAACGGAAATCTTCGCAGTCCCATTCCCTCAGCTTCAGAGGGTATTTACAGTGATTAAACATGCAACAGGTGGCCTTCTGCTTGAGTCACGGCATCCTCTGATATGGCCTTGCCCCTTTCTACCATACACGAAGCTTTCATATTGAAAGAAACCTTCGCGGTCCTCCTCTAACCCCACGTCTTCCACGACATTTCATACGGCCCTTCCCCCTTAAGTGGCGGATGGATTCCATGAACCATGCATGGGGCCCTTGGAAGGAGCATCGAATAAAAACTTCTCGGCCTCGGGGTGCACCAATTCCTTAACCATCTGTATTAGTCGTCTTCGGGTAACTCCTTGGATCGCCATCCATCCCCAGTAGATGATCTCATGCCGTTGTTTGCCGTCGTCCTTCACGAACTCATCCTGTAAGAAGCAGAGGAAGTTGATACGCACAAGCAAAGTCGAGCATTCGTTTTTCTCTGCTTCAGTCCAGGTTACGGGTCCTTTTGTACGCATAAGTAAATGCTTCAAGACCAAGGCAAGAATCGTGTATTGTGTGATAGGGACCACAATTTTCATGATAGCACTGAAAGATTCAAGTAACTGGTCAGCAGAAGTGAAGTTTCGCCACTTGAGATCGTCTAATGTCTTGTCTCCTAGGAGGCAACGCAAGTCCTTTGCATCGTAAAATGAGCACAGGATCATCTCCACCTCGTCAGACTCGTCTACTGAGAGGCCAGGATTGCAAAGATACTCGGAAAGATGCTGTCGATCTGGATTAACGAACTTGATTGTCCATCCGTCGTGGTTTTGGACAAAGCGCATCTCGGGGTCTGTCGTCCATCCTAGCAGGGAAAAGAGTATTGAGTGCATTCTTCGAACCCTGCCCGATAGCTTTCCGAAAGAGGTCTCCATCTTCAACAGCATTTCTTGCTCCATCGCAGGTGAGTATTCGAGGTTGGTGATGTTTGTCACTGGCTTCGGGGCGGGACTGATGCTTTTCTGAAGCAGGTCAAACAGATCACGATAGTCATCATCTTTCTCGCCCTGTACTCTCTTCGAGAGTGGTTCCGATTGCGAAGTCGACGTTCCTTTTCGCTTCAAGGGGTTCGCTTCTGTAGGAGGCGCTACAGGAGCGATTGGAATAATCCAAGATCTGACGGGGGAATGTTCTTCTGCCATTGAGCCGAATAGTGACAAGAGTTCCTTTAAGAGCTTAGCAGCAGAGTTCGCCGTACCTAGAAGGGCTTCAACATTAGACATTGAAAAGAAAAGTGAAGTGGAAGAGGATCTTACCTGTTCTACCTATCCCTGTCTAATCGAAGCTTCCTTGGTCGAGGGTTTTGGGGTGTTCGACTAGGCCTGTGTGGTGAGAGATTGCTAGATGACGGCGCAACGGTTGGAGGAGGGTGAAAGTTGAGGGTTTCGCGGCAGCGGAACCTATTTCACTACGGAGATCTTCACAGGTGGAAGATAAAGTAGCGACGATGGTTTCGTCTTCAGTGGCGGTATTAGTGGTAGAGTATTTACGTGCCTCGGTTCTAGCTGTCCGGATAACAGCCTTAGCTCGAACAACTTCTAGGTGCTTGGCCCTTTTCATCCGATGTTGTTAGGGACACGGCTGTCAGGATTGGCTGTAGCAGCCGCAGTATAATTCTCCTTCGCGGTATTCTGAGCGGTGCTAGCCGTAGTAGAGTTGCCGAGGTCGATGATGATTGCTTTTACGGAGCTTTTACCATCAGCTCTGTCCTCTTTTGAAGGAGTCGCAGCAAGAACCAGTACTAAATTTCGGTGTTAGGATACTCTTTCACATGTAACTTACTACATTGTATCATACCTGGATAGCGGAGCCTAAGGAAAGTAGACAGACGAAGATATGCCACAGACCGAGAGCTCTGCGATGGTGTACTCTGGGTGCAAGGCTCCTAGAGACTAGGTGGACTGATTGAAAAGTTCTTAGGGAAGGTGTCCGCAGAGTAGAGCATACCTATTCCGCATTGAGCCAGACACCCAGGCACATCAGAAATATTGAAAGTCCAAATGGAAAAGGAGGAAATATGAAATCAGGGGTTAGCCTCGTTTAGGCAATTATGCTGTCCAGAATCGGTTAGTTACATGTACGAAGCGTGCTGTGCTTGCAGCGGGTACATGCAGCTTTCGGGCAGGTACATTCAATTAAGCGGGTCAGCATCGGCCTGCAGGGTTATTCCGTCCCTTTACCGCCTACCATTTTTGTGGTGGGGGACATCCCACTTAGGGCAGAATCCACTATACTAAGGCCCTTTCAGAGAAAACACCAAGATAATTCCCTATAATCGGCATCACGAACCTCATGTTGGGTACATCCACAATGGTTCCGTAGTACATAACAGCCGCACTCAGCCGCATTGTAGATTCGTGGGTCTTGTCTCAGAAGGTACCCTTCCACCTATATTTAATTGTGCAATTTAGAATTTCTTTCTTGCAATGATACCCTCTCACTGTGATTTCTTCCTTCAACCTTTTCTACTTCTGTCTCTAAGACTGCCTTCCTGACCATCATTTCCGCACCATTCGTATTTCTTCTTCATAAATACAACACCTTACCTTCATCCATCCCTTCGAGATGAAGCCACCCTTGATTAGCCCCAGCCCTCGGGCTGTCAATTTGAAGCCCTCCACCCCGGCCTCTCTGCAGGCTGCCTTCACTGAAGGACAATGGACCAATGCGGCCAACTTGGCCAAGCAGCGCCATCGAGTTACTAAGGACTTGTACTATCTGGTAAGTGACACTATTCCATATCACCACAGCCGTGCGAGATCTCTTGTTACCTCTCCGGTTTGAAGCCATCCTCAACATTGTCCGTCTCCGTTCCGTCTCCGTTCCGTCTCCGCTCCGGTACCGACCCGGTGTTGACCGGTATCTACCTGCATTGACCTGTCTTAAGCCCATTCCCTTGACTCCATTATTCCCCTCCCTCTATATACCCATAGTAGGCATGTTGTACTCTCGACAGAGCCTGTGTCACGACTATCTTTCAAAGCTCTACCAGATGGGAATATGCTAGCTTCATGTCTTCAACCTAGAACACTCTTCGGTGTCTTGTTTCTTGTTATCGCCTAGTTACTTTATTGCCTCATTTCCATACGTCCCTCGGCCTCTGCCTATCCTTCCAGTGTTTCGCTACCCTCATGAAACTCTGGATTCTTTACTACATCACCTTGGTACCTTTCCTCGTAAACTAACCATCTTTTCTACTAGGCTATCGAAGTTGCTGCCAAATCGCAAAGCGATAATGTCGCAGATCGTATTGCCGGCAAAGTTCTCGTTGAGAGCATGATCAAGGACAACGTCATCATCACAGATGCCGAAACTATCGACTTACTTGAATTCAGTTGCTCGAAGGCAGACGTCAAGTATTCGGAGACTATCGGCTTACTCCGTGCCAAGCTCGTCAAGGCTATCCCCAAGGATAAGAATAGTTGCGTTGGCTGCTTTGAAGCCTGTCTCTACCATTCCGACTGGAAGAATGCGCAGCAGGTAAATCTCCTTACCTAGGTACCTACTCTAAAGTTAATAT